GTCCATCATTTTCAGATAGAAGTCTGCATGAGTAATACCCTTCGTCTCTTACACGAGTTAAATTTAGCAAGAAAGTGATCTGGCCGGAACTTGTTCCATTCCATACTGCACTGATACGTCCAGTGTATGGCTGCGATATCTAGACTTTCATGGTAAAGAATACAGAAATCATTATTTCCCTTGAGCCATCATTCTTAACCTTCCATAGTTGTGCCTCATTAAGATTTCCCCGGAAGGTCCAAGTAAAGTTAACAGATGAACCAGCAACTCCAGTCACATGTTTACTTCTATAGTTTGATGTGAATTGCACCTGACATACTGTTTAGCATAAAAAAAAAAACGCAAGTCAAAATGTTCTTTTTTTTTTATTTTACCCCTAAAAGTTATCACCAGCACCTACAATGAAAATTGCACCTGTAACACCCAGTTCAGAGTAGTCGTGCAAGGTGATTATATGTATTCTCCGGGAATCCCGGTACTGAAAAATGATCAACTCAAGGAGATGTTGTTGCCCATTGTGGCTGGTTGGAAAAATGAGAGTTTAGTCAATCATCGCAAGATGAAGCGTGGGACTTCATGGCGAGCGAGGGCGAAAGTCGGTTTACGTGTAACTATTCATAGCACCTTTATTTGTTGTTACAGGTATGTTTTGGCGCTCTGTCATCGATATCTTTCGACCTTCATCATAATTCCGACTTCTCGTTCATAAGAAAGATCGGCAAGGACGAAAAGAACAACAATCATAGAGGAAGGATCCCACGCAAGATTTTAAATCTAATGCGGTCCTACCCTAGGTGAAGTGTGTTTCAGAGGCTCCTTGCCGCTGCGTACGACAACAAAGATTGCTCACTGTCTTTAACCAGACAACTTTCAGGTCACATTTGATGCGACCTAAAAATCCCTTTGAGTTTCGTTGCAAAACGGGATGCCGCCGTTTAATAGATTCCGTTCGAATATGGTAAAGTAAGCATCTGAGATACAGCGAAAGGCACCGTATCGAGAGAATTAAAAGACATGAGAGAAAGATCATATTTAAACAATACACTATACTTACTGTTGATTAACCGGGTTCTTAAAGCACGAGAAAAGTTTCTAAATCATGAGCCAGGGGCGAGTGGTTTACAAACACATTTGAATACAAATGAACACAACCGTGACGATGAGAGAACCGAGCGGAAGAAAAATCTTAGAACAACCGATAATAATTAATTCGCTCTTATGACATTTAAATTGCAAATGATCCATCGATTTCATGCCGTCATCTTTTCAGACTGCCGTCTCTAGCATTGCAATAAAAATTGGTTTACCGTATGAGAAACTGGGACAAGAGTAAGAGACCCTTTTACACTGTCCTGAGTCATTCGTAGTTATACTCTTATGGTGGTTAAATCTTGGTTAGGGGAAGAAAATGTACACTCTGAGAAGAAATTTCCGCCTTTCTCTATCATGTCAGGTTTAAGAGATCCGGTGGTGTAGAATCATGTTACGCATAAAAAAATGCTCACTTACCTGCTAGATGAGTGATCATAACTGCGGTCACAATATAGCTAAGGACTCCTTGTACATATACCTTGGGCATGACTTGATTGTAGTGTTCTGGTACGACCACAGTGCCAAATGTAAGGTTTAGCTTAAGAGATGCACGTATAAAGGTGAGCAGTAAGATTTTCTAAATAATGATTTGACCCTCTGCTGAGGGGGCAAGTGCTGAAATTTCATCGGTCACGCTTTTTTAAGAAGAAGCGCTTGGGAAAGAAAACAGTCAATTTTAAAGTCTCGATGAATTTATTAAAAAAAAAAAGTTTGTAATAAAGACAAAGTTAACACGCCAAATAATATTCTTGGATGAAAATGGTTTCTTCAGATAATAGATGATGACTTTCGATGCTTAAATTATCCAAAGTTTATTTGAGTTAAACGCTCCTTGATTAAATTGCTAAATTGCATCTAATTTTAGACTTCTCTGTTGTACGACTGGCAGATTATCGTCATACCGATCTAATGTGGCGTCAGATAAGAGTTTGAAACGGAGTTCCTCTCAGAGTCCTTCGAACTAATGTTCCAATCACGAAACTAGATAAAAGTCTGAGTCAAAGTAAATTGACAAGTCCCTGTTAAAGAATGACACAGCATGGCTACAATCATTGCTTTTATGAGTGAATATTTAACTGGAAACAATTTTTAGTGTAATAGAAAAAATCCGAGCCCCAGATGGGACTTGAACCCACGACCCTCCGTGATCTAGTCGGATGCTCTAACCACTGAGCTAGTGGAGACTCTATGGTGAGCAAGGGTTAATTTGTGGGCCTCGACTGGAACCGCATCGCGCGGCTACACAGCCAAGTATTGGTAAACACCATATTTAACTTGGCTGACAATTTCAGATCATAGTGCGATATTTGTAAGAAGTGTCATTTGGAATAAGACATTGAAAACTAAGATATTTTGGCCAAAGACCGAACTCTTTAAAACAAATAGCATAAGTTCAATGCACAAATGACCATGGCCGGTGATGAGGGGGGTGAACTATGTGATATATAACACTATTAGTTAACGAAACTGGTTAGTCTCCTCAGCACTGATGATGCGTTGGTACCCTTTTCATTCTTAGAAATATAGCATACACAGAAAAATTGACCAACCAAGTTGTCCGGGACTTAAAAAATGCTTAGATAGCAGAGTTAGAGATTGGTGGAAGTTATCATGATCGATGTTTGTGCTTCATGTCTGGTTATTTGGAATGTACTCATACGATGCTAACTAAGAAATGTACCGTGTTGGACCAATTTGGAACCCCAAGCCATCATGTTGGTTAAATAATCATGACACACCTGCCCAGGGCGAAAACAGCTGTATATGGCTGCGACCGTTTGGCCCTTTAGTTAGTGCAGACGAACAATCACTTGGATTATCACCATTTTAAGTTTCGCTAAAATACCACTCATCATAGATTTTTATTGTTATCTCCACTGTCACTTTCCATCGGAATAAATGATGTTATCTCGTCGATTTATCTCTTGATCTTATATTAAAGACAAAAGAAGGCAACAGCGGTACTTACCAACAACAGACGATTTTGCTGGGTCTATAATGGGACTCAAATGGAGGAACATGGGTTGAATCAGACAACCAAACAGTCTGCTATCTTGTGCTTTGATTGAGCTTAGAGTAAACGTCACTTGACCTGGGTTAGTCTCGTTGTTCCAATTGCCTTTGAGGCGACCTACATATGCTTGCTTTATTGACATGGCACCATCACTTGTTATCCCTATGAGTTGATCATTGCCGTCAATCCTGGTTTGGATAAGGGAATTCATGAAACCAAAAACAATCTTAAAAAGGCCGTCATTTGCGAAGAAGGTCCATGTGAAGTTAAATGAAGAACCACGAGATGCTGTCACAGTACGTCCTCCATAAGGGGAAGTGAACGAAAGGCCACCTGAGTGAAAACATAACCAGAAGTGTGAATTCGAACGGCTTAATATTACGCATGGACACATGTGAAATAGTCATGATTTGGAAACTTGTAGAGGCCAAATCACTAAATGCCTAAAATTCAGGGGGAATAGATTCGAGATTTTTTATTACCAATTCAGTAACGGAATTATAGTTACTGTAACAATAAATGAACTTTTCAGACTTAAAATCAAAGTTAATGGTACCCATAGTTACTTCGGTGAAGCTGACCTCATTACTCCTAACCATATATTACCAATGCGCTTTAGTATCCTGTCGGATGATATTGTTATCACTTGATACAAATCATATTCTGCGTTCAGCCTTGCCCATTTGAAATTGCACTTAGCCATGCAACCACATCTGTACACTTCGGAGGAAATTTTCATCATTCTATCATATTTTTATGCCTTGCTAAATCTGCAAGTGGAAACTCGATTATGATTTTATAATAACCCGGGTCTGTGATATCGTATACGAGGCTCATTCTTTCGATTTAATTGGTTTTAATCGTCGAAATTAACGTGAAACGTACTTACAGAGATACACTTAAAAAACCCAGCCAGCACCAACTGATCACGGTTTAACCGACAATCAAGCCTTTAAATCAACACCAGTATTTGGTCTTTTGGTCGCGTATTAATATTTATTGAAAGTTCAATTAACAGACTCAAAAGATTTCTTGAAAAGTCTATTTAAAGAGATTTGATAACTATTACACGAGTAACTTATGTTAGATGCAAATGGTGGATAAATTCAGAGAGTAGAGATAGTTTAGCTATGGTCACGAACAAGTGCATTGGTACCGTATGAAAAACCGCACTGTTCACTTTAAATTATGACCAGACATTATTTTCCGGTAGAACGTCCCAAAGTGCTAAGGTAATTGTCACTTGGAGAAATTTCAACGCGGGGACTTCACTATGTCAATCAAGTTGAATCATATCAGCAATCAGTTGTTTCCTTTATAATCCCACAGACTTGAGAGGAAACAAAGAGCGAAGGAAACAGTTTTGTGTAAATCTGCATTGCGTTAAGTTGAAACACTGAGAAACAGAAATGCAAGAAAACTTGGAAGCCTTCATTAGTAATGGCTTTGTCTGAACTTTCAGCGATCCAGGTCACACTAGCGTCTGTTAAATTGAAACTGGTAATATAATCACCGAATTTAACGGTATGACGAGAAAAGAAGGCATTCCTACACTGTGATGTGTGGTACGTGCTAGAACTCAAACTACATATTTTGGGTAGCAATTTCTTGTGTCCTCCAAAGGAGCCGGTCTTTTTACGTATAGAAAAAACCTTACTTACCTGCCATAGGAGTAATTGCGACAGCAATCACAAAGTAATTATGAATTACTTGCACTCCACGCATCACTGTGATTTTTCAGTTATGACAGGATGTATAGTTTTGCTCAAAAAGACAGCTTGCTAGATGCGCAATAAAAGATTATCTAAACGACGATGTGACCCTCTGTTGGAAGGTCACCAGCTTTACTTCAGCAGTCACGCTTGTTTACGAAGTAACGCTCAGACAAGAAAAACAAGAAGTCAATGTTGTTACACTTAATACATAACGACGGGCGATATTTAGATAAGGTCCGATAAGGTCATGATGCATGTGAAACGTTTTCCGAAAATCACGGGGCTTCACTTAGAGCTCCTCTAAACGCAGATCGGGGTTAGGGTTAGTGTCGACAACCGAGCGGTATTATAAAATGCACAAGCTCGGAAAATTAGTCGACTTGGAATACAAATTAATATCTGGAATCGCTTGACATTTCTAGAGAAACATCTGATACTCCTCAGAAGTTTGAAAGAACCTTTCAGCGGCATTTCAGTGAATATTTCTGACTGCCGTGCACTTTTCTATTTAAGTCACAGTGATCATTTACGCTTTAACATTTTATTTTGGTAGATGGAAGGTGTCCCGAGTCAAATAGACGTTATCGTTATTGAAGTTAATTATTGTCCTCTTCATCATCATCATCATCATCATCATCATCATCATCATCATCATCATCATCATCATCATCATCATCATTATCATCATCATCGTCTCATGACAATTTTTTATGAAAAAGGTAAAAAACGTATACCATTTATGTAAGGATAAACTAGGAAAAAAGGTAACCTTAAGGTTAGCATGACTTGTATGACCCTTGTAGAAGCTAATTTAATCATTTTCCACGCATTTAGTGTTGGTTGTAACTCTGCATTATTCAACTCGATATTTTTTGCAAAATCTTATCGGTAAGCACAGTTGCTGACAAAGAGCAGTAACAATGTAATCACGTTACTACTAAAAGAAAAAGGTCTTCAATATTGTAGAAAGCTCCGCCGAATCTTTGTTTACGATGAGATTAATACGAAAAAAAAAAAAAAAAGGAGCATTTCATGAAACATTAACACACACGATGTATCTGTACAGAGTAACTGATGTACCCGAAGCGACAGAGGAATTGCATTTAGCATTCGCGCTTTGTTATATCTTCCTATGACAGAAGTACACCATCTTTAAAAGGCAAATTTAAGTTTATACCTAACGTTAAGCAGGCGCGACCGAGAAAAATTCATTACTCGGGCTTTCCGAAGGAAACGCCTGAGGTATAAAAGCCTTGAAAGTCCTTGAAGATGCTTGAATTTAAAAATTAAAAACTCAAGGCCTTGAAAGTACTTAAATTTGAGGACTAAGGCTTGATTGTTGCAATACTTTTTCTTTAGCAGTTACAAGTTGAAAATTAGAGTACTTTCATGGAAAAGCTGAGAATTGATATTAAATTATTTTAAAACTGCTTAGGCAAACCTTTCCAAAAGTGGTCCTTCAATTTTCTAAAACTTGGCCTTTAAAGTCATTGAAAAGTCCTTGAATTTCAACCTTTGGCATCTACAGGAACTTACTCCTATATGGTAATATATTATTTTGATTGTTGTCTAGTACCATAACAACATTCATTACACTCCAGCAGACAAAAATAAACACAAGTAGACTTATTCGTGACAGGCAATGATGAAACTGCGTGACGACATTAACGATGGCATTATGGCAGTCCCCTAAAGATAACTCCAGATGTGCGATATTGAAAGCCCGAGTTCACGCAGGTCTACGTCTGGTTACTTCTGTTTTCTTAAGCGTGAGTAGGCGTACAGACGTTTGGCATTGAATTCGTAATCTTCAGCGGCTCCCAAACGATACATGGACGTCGATCCATGGATAAATCGGGATATGACTACGGTGAGATGAGATAGTCAAACAATGCCTTCTGGCGTATAGATAACAACTCGTTTGCTTTATCACATAAATTATGTCTCTTTTATTTCCGTCATTGGCAGCAGGTAAGCTTGGCGAATCAAACACCATCGATCTTGAGTCATTCTTCAACAAGCTAAAACGAACACTTACTTACCTGCTAGATGGGTTATCGCAGCAGCAATCACTACATATTTTAATCCAAATAGAAGGGTGCACATGACGGGGTGTTTTGTATGCGACGACTCTTAATCTTGAAAAAAAGGGAACGTTTAGTTGATAAGCGTTCATGGGCTAGCAATGTGACCCCCGCTTAAAAGGTGATAATAGTATAACGCAGTCACACATTGTGACTAACCGCTGAGTAAAAACGTATCCCATAAATTCAAGATGATTTCAAACACACACGTACACCTACATAATAAAAAATAATGAACTTTTTATATAATTGTAGTGTCACTGCTGACCTGATCGCTGGTAACGAGGATTTGCAAGAGTCAAGCAAGAGTTACAAGTCACTTTGTACGAAGCACATTTATTTTTAGTCTCCTTCGCAGCCGATGTTTGGTCTCGTCATTTGACGCGTTTTCTTGAACACATGAGGAGTACTTCGGTATGAAAAGGGGAGTCCTCATCGGCTCGGCTATTGATTTCTGTCGTCCAAATAGGAACTGGTATCTATCAAAAGTGGTGTTTCACTTTCTCTGATATACAACTTTTTATCTCGTTTTATTAATAGACTGATGCATTGTTTTGCATTTTGAAACTGTACCTTGCAAAAAAAAAGGAAAGAAAAAAAAAAATACGAAGCTATGATACATACCAACATAATCACTTTCTTCCTGACTGAGAAGGAAAGTAATCTTATGCCATTAAAAATCATCAGGAGGAAAGACAAATATGACCAAATATAATAACGGATGAATAGATAAGGAAAGTTGAATATAAACAATAATAAAAACAACAAAAACAAAGACAGGGATTTCTTGCGAAAGGATCAGTCTGAACATAAAGTGGAGTGGATGTCAACAACTAAATGACTTTATCAGATTTTAGTGAGGCCGTTGATAAAGTGGACCAAATGAGATATATTGTTTATACTACAACTACATTCTCTCAAAAAAAAGGGGGGAAAAAAACAACAACAAACATTAACAAAGGATGGATGAGCTTTATATTTGGAGACTTTCCCTGATCAGTTGGAGTTAGTTTGAAATGATTGTTCGTTTCCAGTTATTGGATCGTGTCAGTGACCCGGGATTCAGTTAACGATTTGTAGGAAAATAATGAGATCTTTCAGTCTATCAGGAGGATGAAACGTAATCCAATACAAAGTCAGCATAGAAACTTCCTTTAAAAAAAAAATATTATACTTTATTTATCAAGAGAAATTTACCGGCTAAGTCGTATCTCGTTCCACAACACTATCTCCAAAGGGAGATTTTTTTTTCCGAATTTTAAAAGTTACGATCTGTAGACTTAAACGTTTCCTGATTTTTTCATGATCGTTTACCATGAAGATTGGCACTAGAAGCTTTCGGAATATCTGCTGAATGGAGAAAAAAAAAAGTTAAATAAAGGATACTGAACAGGCTGCTCTATGTCCTATTTTTACACTGAGCCTCACTTCTTTTCTTAATTTATTTATTAATTTTAATGAGGAGATGGGAAACTGGTGGACTTTTAGGGACAGTGACACAAAGTTCCGACAAATTAGTCAGCATTATAGTGCTTTTGTTACTTTATTTTTCAAAAACGTATCTTTCTCTGCACTCATTTTTCCAAAAACAAAAAACAAAAATTACACATACACAATTTAAAAACTGTTTCTATAGGGCATTGTTATCATGAGAATAAAAGGAGTTAAAAGGATTGAGAATAGACTGGTACATGTCACACTTTAGTTTTACCGTAATGAATCCCTTCATGTGACTCTTTCGAATTTCAGCTTCTTTCAAACAAGTTATATTTCTAGCTAACTACAAGTAAAAATCTACGCGTTTATTGCAAATCCAGCATCAGACAAATAGGAGAGATTGATGACTATACGTTTAAGTCCTCAACGTTTGCGTACAACTGCTTGTCGTACATTTTCATGTTGATCAGCCTCTGTGGAGAAAAAAAAAACAAACAATTTCACGAGATTATCAAAGTTGAGTGTGTAAGATTTGTGATAAACACGACAAAATGATCTTATTTTCACCAGGGGTAGATTAAGTGTCAGCCACTGACCCTATCGTTTATGAACAGTTGACATTAAGACCGCGGTCTCTATTACGGTCACAACATAGTTTAATTTCTTTTTATCCTGAACTGAGGTGATCGTGTCAATTGGCCACCACGAAGAGTTTTAAAAACTGGCATTTCAAGCGTTTCCCTTAATAGTATTTATGGGTACCTTGTGTTTGGTTTCCATATCCTTAAGCTGGTTTCTTAACTCAGTGAATTTTGGTCGAACATCCGGGTCGTTTTGCCAGCATCTCATCATGATCTGGTACCTGATATTTGTCACGAAGAATACATTCAACAAACGAAGAAAAGTGTATTTTTGTTTTCAAGACTCATTTAACTTGGATACCAGTTAAAAATGGCTTTAACTTACAGTCATCGGGCGAAATAATTCTTTGAATGGGACTAACGACAAACCAAAGTAAATTTAAAAGGTAAGAAACAGTATGGACAACTCACAACTCATCATCCACATGTTGTGGTTTAGGCATTCTGTAGTCCTGCTGAAGTAGTTTCGCAATTTTCTTGCCATCCATCCGTGGATACGGGGAACCACCTGGAAATGATTTAAATATTCTTTTGTTTCTTATTGGCGGAAAGGAAAGCAGAGTACATATGAATCCTGTTTGGTTGCGTAAGATTGTTGACCACAAAATTTAAAACAATTATTTCTTTTATTTTTATTTTTTTTATGCAGATGCACGCATAGGGCCGTATGGGACAGACAGCTAATGCACCTTCGTTGTTTTATCTTGATTACTTTGCTTTAATCAGTTTTGTCTTAGGATTTAACGCTGATCCTCAAATTAAGTAACAATCAACCAGTGGTTGATAAGCGTCTTTGTTTTTCATTATATATAATGTATGAATTAAATCGTTACCTATTGTGAAAATCTCATAAAGGAGAATTCCATAGCTCCATCTAGAAGCTAATGGGATAAAATTACATTAACATAAGGAGCGCTCTTAAAAACAGGAAATGTGACAGACGCTGGAAAGTCAATTTGCGACAGACTTGAATTTATCCAAAGATGGGAGCATTATTCCAGTATTGAGCTTGATGCTATGGGAAACGTGTGGATGGTACGCGTACGTGTGCAGACTTGTTGGCAGGATTTACTTTTCATACTCAAATCGAGTGCGTAGCGATATATCCTAACAAGTGATGAACGCCTGTACTTACACATCACTTTTGGTGGTATATGTGCCATACAACAACGCCTCGTAAGCTGTCCACTTTACTGGAAGACGACCCTTAGAAATTCAGAGTTATTGCAAGAAAAATTGCCATTTACATAACAATGATATAACATAAAAAAAAAATGGAGCTATATGATTCCATGAAAAAAAAAAATATTGGAGTTCGAAGGGAGTCAAAATTAAATTACAAATTATAGCTATAATCAATGCAATAAAGTTAAACCTCGTATATGTGCACGATCCTTTGCAGTAAAGCACTATTTAAGCAATAGTGAAAATCAGACCTGAAAAAAATTCAGGCCTGTACGGGATTCGAACCACTGACCTCTGCGATACTAGTGCAGCGCTCTACCAATTGAGCTAACAAGCCAACTGGGAGCAGGCCATCAAATTAATTCGACATAAACCCGTAGATGATAAATCAAACAACAAATATATATGAAATACATATATATGAACTGCTGATTTTCACTATTGCTTAAATAGTGCTTTACTGCGAAGGATCGTGCACATATACGTTTCATAACCGCAGTTCATATATATGTATTTCATATATATTTGTTGTTTAAAGTTAAACCTCATATTTCAAAGTACCTTTGTCTTTCTTTCATAAACATTTTCCTGCTGTACGTCTCTGGCCATTCCCAAATCTGTTACTTTGCATGTTTCGTTCTCCCCAACCAACACATTGCGGGCTGCGAGGTCTCGGTGGATAATCTAGCCTCAGGGAAATAAATTGAATTAATCGAAGATGATTGCTATCAGAAAATCTAACTATACCCGGTGATTTTAACAAAAGCTGGTTACCAATAGTCTAACATCGCTATAAGACCCCTCACCACCGTCTTCCTGCGGTTTTGATTCAGAACCTGACTATTCCATCGCAGTCTAAGAAATATGCTATTGCCTATACTATGATGGCTCTGATGTTTTTATAAAAAAAAAAACTTACAGATTTTGAGGACAAGTAACTCATTCCATCAGCGATTTGCCAAGCAAACTTCATCAGCTGTTGTGACGTCAGATTTGATTGTGGTTTGATATCCGCGTCCTTGAAGTAAGTATCATTTAATCCACGGCTCTTTCTCAGATAACCCAACAAATCTCCAAAAGGAACATATTCGATCAACACCAGCAGAGGCTCTGAAAAACAAGGAAGCGGTTCTAATGAGAAAAGAGATAAACAAAATAATCCGGATAAAAGGTTTTTTCTTTCAAAAGCAAAGTCTACCAACTAGAGATAACAAGATATGATGCATTTTACATTCTTTGCGTTTAAAAATGTACATATCAACTACATCACTGATAACCTAAAATTACTGAAACTTACATTAATTCATAATAATAATAATTTATAATAATAATTATCATAATAATAATTCTTCATAATAATAATTTATCATGAACGGTTAACGAAAAGAACTTACCAGTTTCCGTAACACATCCCAGAAGTTTTATGACGTGTGGATGTGGTTTTAGTTGTTTCATTGTCTCAAGTTCTTTCTCCAAATCTCTCTCGTCCGAATCCGAGGCGTCATCTGAAGACAAATTTCTACAGTTATCAAGTATATTTCTTACAGTGTAAACTGCTTAATCGAAAAATCACAGGTAAGAATAATGGAAGTCATTTTGCTCACTCAAAATCATGAGAAACTTGCAGGAATTAATGTAAGTTTCAGTAATTTTAGGTTATCAATGATGTAAAATGTAGGAAAAAAACACAAAAATAGGGCTTGGAAACCTTGTCAATTTTTGTTACGGCCGAAGTTTGTTTTCATCAAGTTTTACAGAAGGGAAAGAGGAATGTTTTCTTTACCTGGAATGTATCGCATTTTGGCCAACAGTTCTCAAGACATATCACTCCGAATTGTGAACGAAGGGTAAAAATTTACTAAACTCTCGTTCGCAAAAGGGTAAAGCTTTACCTTTGAGCATTTTGATGGCTATCGTTGTTCTACCAGGCCTTCCGCAAAGGTTTTCAACTGTTCCCTTTGCAACCTGGCCGAAAGCACCTTTACCAATGATTTTTTCTATTTTCACATGATCCTTTGACACTTCCCAGGAGCGTGTTGATGGAAGAAGTGCTGCGTAATCAGTAACTTGGCCAGCAGTTTGAGTTTGAGTATCATCTAAGCTTGTTTCTTTAATATCAATGTACTCTGCGGGATGCTGGGCAATATCGCTTGAATCAGGACAACTTAATTCCAGGTCTTCTAACTCAATATCTTTCTGAAAATTTATGGGAGATATGGACTTGATATCGTTGCGTATTTGCACGTGCGGTGGTAAAAATGATGTAAACGATTACTTTTGGCTCAATTTGTTAAAGCCGACTGATTTTATTTATCCTATCATCGTTTGTATGAATCAATTTTTCTTAAGTATTAAAGGATATACCTCATAGGCTTTTTCATCTTTCACCCTACAATGAACAATAAAGTAATATGTTACGGAGATGCTTCAGTTTGAATCATTTCAGTGTTGTTTTATCCTCATATCTACAGGCGAACTAATAGCCCACCATTCATCCCCAGCTGACTGCTGTTATATCTTTTCTAACATAGTTTTCTTATAATTTATCTTACTTTCGTTAAAGTGACACTTTTGTTTTTGTTTAGTTTTTGTTTTCGTTAAGGCTAATTTACAAATCACATTATTTGCAGAATCAGACAAGAAACATCATGCATTTTTCCTAAAAACTTTCCTCAAATATTCATAAACAGCTAGGCCTCCTTGTAATGATATGATTGCTGTTTTCGTTTTTGTCATTCACTCAGCCCGTTTTAAATGACTGTAAAAAAGGACATCGCACCTCTGCTTTCCTCCAGCGCCTAGGGAAAAAAAAAGTATTGTGAGATGTACAATTAGACACACGGAGTCCTATTTCTTACCAAACCCCACCAAAGGGGCACCCGAGCTCTTTTCGAGGGGATAATATTACAAAGCTTGGTTTGGGAATTTAGGCTCCGCTCTGGAACTCGTAAACAACTAAGCTAATAAACTCTAACCTTCCGATAGTTTTTTTTCGGTTATTTTTCCTCTCTGGTAGTAATTTAAGTGCATTTTGTAGAGTTTTAGCTGACTTTTCATCCCATTTCCTGCCTGCACTATGAAGAAGGAAAGGGAGGGAGGCTTCGTCAGACCAACGGACGACCAATTATCGAAAGCCGCTCGATTCGCAGATTAAACCTCGTCTTTTTGCCTCGATACTGCATCGCGAAAGTCAGATAGTTGTCCTTCAAGCTCTTGGAAACTATATCAGAAAACTTCTGCCGTCGAGGAATCGATCCAGCGTAATGTAACAGATCTAGCGTGTCCGCCAATAGGGTGCCCAAGAAATTTGACTCATGTCTGGTATCGCGTCGTAACGGTCGCCGAACTGCACAAGAAGTTCTTGCCACGGGTTCAAATGGCTATGAACCCGTCGATCACTTAAAATTCTGAATGAGATGGCCTGAAATCTCGACCAGAGAACAAATATTACACAAGGAATACTTTGTACTTTGTAAAGCTAGGCTAGAGGTTATTTGCTTGTTTCAAGACGGAGCCTACACTCTCTACAAAGCTTTATGATATTACCCTCTCATAGATAGCTTAGGCACTCTGTGACTCAACAATAAAACAAATTTAAAAAAATTATAAAATTTACCTTTCTTGTGTAACCAGAGAATGTAAATGAATGACAGAAGGATTATTAACACAAGTACTCCAATTATGGCAATATAAATGACGTCATGACATGAGCACTTGCATTCCTCCTTGGCTGAAGAGAAATGATATTAGGCCCGTTTTTAACCAACTCGTAAAAAGCAATTTGAAGAAAGGGTTAAAAATGGGTTGCTGATACCAAAAGTGTACTCTTCTCTGACCAGCGATCGGAACCAAAAGGACTCTAGTAAAGTCTGAGTACTCGCTTTTAATTAATAACTACGAAACTGATCTACTTTAAGAATAGATTGAGTGATGCCGCTAAGTGAAAACTAAGTCAAGAAGCCCGACTATTGATTATCACGTACGGATGGTTGGACTGTTGAGTGAACGAAGGCTATAGCTCTTTTTGTTGACGAAAATCGACCATTCCGATGGAAACGATTGTTATTTATCAAGGCTTCATGCGTGGCAGCAGTGCCACTCAACTCATACTCAGAGGATATCATCAACTGTATTAACGCTTGACGCTCACGCGATCTTTATTTATTTCGAATCAAAGAAATCTGGGTCAGCGAATTGTATTTTTCCGGAGCTTTATCCTTCTTTCTGATAAACAAGGGTAAAGGGGGTTCAAAAGGCAAGATTTTTAACTCGTTGACTCAGAAACAGTTTTTTAAATTAAGTCATCATTACCTATCCGGTTGTTGTTTTGCAGATCTACAAGTTTTAATCTTTTGATCTTCGTTTCGTCAACCAAGCTTTCACCAAGTTGATTTGTGGCAGTGATTGTAAATTCATACACCTTGCCTCTCTCCAACTTGACTGTCAATTCATTGATTGAAACTTCCATGATTTTCCTTACGACTGTCCACTCTCCTAATTTTCCGTTAGTGACTAATCTTTGGTACAGAGTGTACTGTATAATTTCTTTCCCATTATCTTCTGGCTCCTTCCACTTCAAGGTGATCTCATCATCTGTTGTTTCACTGGGCAGGCCATATATTTCCACCGCTGCCGGTGGACCTAGATTGACCAATATATGTAACACATAGTTTCTAGAATGTCTCGCTGACTGAATGTCTAAAATTGAAATTTTAAGTATCGTAAGGAAAAGAAAGCATTATTGTTATTCTCCAGGAGGAATTGCTTACCTTCAAAGTTTGTCTTCAATGTGGTTACAATAGGATCTCCTTCAAACAGACCATTCCTTGCGATCACTTTCACTGCATAGTTTGTATCTCTTTCCAGACCCCCAAAGGTGTAACTTGTTATGGCAGGATCAGTAACATTAACACTGTTTATCTCAGCGTCACCCTTTAGTATAATCGCCATGTATCCTGTGATAGGACTTCCTCCATCATCAGCTGGTGCGGTCCATCGTACTGTTAGTGAACTGGCTTGAATACTCTCTTCTGATGATACTATGAATGGTGTGCCTGGTTTTTCTTCAAACAATAAAGTAAAATCTTGAACCATTTATTTTTCTCATATTTCTATCAAATTACGACGAAATATGAAGTCGATAACGTTACATACTGCGAACACCAAAATGATGGAATATGCTGCACACTTGATAAAACCAAATCAATGGCCGAAGCTGAGGAAGTATACATGGGGAGAGTCTGGTATGAAACTTTTAAAAATGCCTTTCGTTTTTGATTATTATTTGGACATTTCGATGACAATAGGCCTCTCGTTGAGATGAATAACACTCAAATTGTGTTGCGAAATCGCCCTTGTATATGTTTTACCTCACAAAAACATAGAACTGATACAAGTGAAGTGATAACACAGCCACAACTTAGATTGTGTTCAAGCATTTTCAAAATCAGTCATTCTTTTGACTCATTTATCACTCTTTTGAGACGATATATAAACTTTTGATCAGACGAAATATGTATGATAACATTATCGTACTAACTAAGAACTCTTAGCGTTTTTTCGTCCACCAATTCACAGCAGAAGAGACCCGAAATTACAGTTTTGAGCTCGTCGACATTCGTTCAGGTTTTAAAAAAGTCTTATAGGAATTCAATTTTTGAAACTTTCAGGTTTTTTTTCTAGAGAAATGCTTTCGAAGATGACGTGATTGACGCTCAATGGTGAAACAACAATTGAATCGTACTTATCTGTGTTATTTTTACTGTTGTGTCGTCAGAGGGACTCAGTCCATTGGCAGCAATGCACTTGTAATCACCGAAATCTTGATCACTCCTCGGCGTCACTTGTACTTTGTTTTCTCTAGCTCTGACTCTGTTTATTTCTCTTCCATCAGGTTTGTACCAGATGAGCGTTGGTGTAGGAACGCCATTTGACTTACACTCTAAAGTCACAGTGTGACCAATCCAAGACTTACTGCTTGACGAGGTTACATTTTCTATTGTTGGTGGGTCTGCAATTTGAACATGAAGTCACTCGAGATATAAAACTATACCACGACTTGGTATGAATGTGGGAAACCGCCGCAAGGAAATGTGCGTCTGGGATAATTGAATTTCTGCACAGTTATCTGATTGGTTTATTATCCTGCCACCATGTTGTGATAATAAGAACAATAATTGTAATAACATGAAAATGTTTAAAAAAATACGGCTGATATTACTTACGGTAGACCAGGAGTATTATGTGTTTATTTATGGTGTCAGCCGTGTTGTTTGCTCTACATGTATACCATCCATCATCTGTCTTTGTTAGACTGTTGAACTTTAAAAGCGCCGCTCCCTGCCCTGAACTGATCACTTTTCCATCTAAGATCCATGTAATATCTGGCTCTGGAATCCCCGATGCGGTACAGCTGAGATTAACAACGGAACCCTCTCGATAACTGCCGTGCACTGGTGACAGATTTATCGTTGGCGGCTCTGCAATAACAAAGGAGGGCAAGGGCACATTTGTAAACAAAATAAATAGAAAATAATGATAAAAAACGTGTGTTTCTTCTTCCCATTTTCCTCTGAAATCTACCGTATTTATCATAGTAGACTTTTTGGTAAGATTACCACGCATATGTGAAGCATTTATATTATTTTGGGGGAAAAATATTTTCTTTTACATGAAGAATGTGAATAGTATTCTGTTTATGTTAGCGAAGGTTTTATCAACTCAAACAAAACGGGAAAATGCCGGGCTCCATTTACCAATTTCTCCAAGCTGTGGGAACCTGGAAATCAGAGCGAAGTAATGGTTCATGAGAAGATGTTGCTGCAGTTAGCCGCATTAAGGCTCCGAGTGAACCGCGTGACTAAGACAGACATATCTCCTATATCGAGTAGCGCAAGAAAATGTTAGAAAATTCGAACTTCTCGCGGGTTTCCGGCAAGATCCGTTGACAGAATGGACCAAGTAGATTTCAGTCTCTGCAACACCAGAAGGACTGTACCAATATAAGTCATGCCCTTTGATAACAAAGTCATAGATCTTGAGGGTTGCGAAGCTTACATCGATGACGTGATTATCTATTGTGGCACCCGGGAGAACACTTGAGGACTAAGCAGACCATCAATATTTCAAAGTGAGTCATCGTTTCTGAAGTCCAACATTCCAGATTCATTATATGCTGTTCCTGGATTTACATTATATCGCTGTGATAGATTACCGAGTTGTGGTGGTGGTGTACTAGCCTTTGTCAATCATGATCTGCGTGTCAGGCGCAGAACCGACTTAAAACGCTACTTAAAGATTATTTGGCTTGAGGTTTTTCCTTTTAAGTCAAATCGATCGCTTTTTATCGCCGGAATTTATCGCCCGCCCTCTCACTCGTTGGCAGACGACATTCGCCAAGAGGCAAATATTGAGCAAGCTTATCTCCTGAACAAAGAAATGATTCTGCTGGGGGACTTTAACATAGACGAGCTCAATCGGTCAAAATTTAATAAACATCGTCTTAGTAAAGGCTTGAAGACTATGAATTTTGATCAGCTCGTAAACGTTCCAACAAGACCAATTAGCGAAACGTGTCTGGATCACATCTTTTCCAATCAACCTCAAAGAATACAGAATATCATTTGCCCTGTCATCTGGCTGGCTGATCACTTACCTTTGTTTGCGGTGAGATATATAACAATGCAAAACACAAGCACCATGCATTATATAAACTAGTACGATAGGAATGGGACTATGACGAGGCGAGATTCTTGATAAAAAAAAAAAAAACCTACTCTGGAAGGAAATCTGATGCAACGGTGTATTTTCTCCGGTCTCTCCTCTAAGAATGCGAAGAATAGTCCTTCGAAGCGGAAAAATTAGCACACGGAGTCAATGAGCTCTTTTATAGGCTCTTGGTAAATAGTCCGGGGAAATAATTATCTTATCTTCTCACTAAGCAATTAATAGCTATTGTATTAGTTTTAAGGCTACACTTTTCAATTGAAAAAAAAGTTAAATAGCTGTGAGCAACATTCGCGGAAAGAAAATGGGAATATGCTAACTTCGTCTGGAATTACATTGAATCTGCAAAAAAGATTGAAAACGTCACCTAGATTTTAACAAGTGTTTAATGCTGTAGTAGCGCATCATTCATTAGTAATCCACTACTATAACTGCTATATTTCAAGACATACCTGCAACAATAATCCGAACTTGGTTACGAGGATTAGTCCTACTTTCAAATAATTTGCATCCAAATATGGTGTTGTCTGTGGGAGTTACTTTCTCGATGACTAGAGAGGCAGCCCCTTCTATGCTGACTCTCCCTTTGTAAGCAGAAGGTATATCTGGATGTTCTTGAACAACGCCATTCTGTTTTACCAGAATTCTTTTAAATTCTTTACCTCGATTACTATTCACCAGAACATCAAAGGCAATGCCTCTGATATCATTGTTCGGGTCACTGTAGTCCCACACCAGTTTGGCAGTGCTTCCATTGTTAACGTAGGTTGGATTAGAAGGCCATATTTTAAACTTGACATCTGCTTCTGGTTGCAGAACAATCGTTAAAACAAAGAGTTATTTCATAAGACGTATTTTACATAATTTAACATCTGACCTCTACGGCTCAGCTTATGCGTGTCCAAAAGAAAAATACTAAGAAATCTCCGCTTTGAGTCGGATGTAATTTTGTATGTCGGAAGAAAATGATGGCGTTTCTCAACTTCCACAAGAGTCTAAATAGCAAAAAGTCACTAAAACAATGCCATTAGCTGTTCTGCTCCTACTACATAATAAAAAGGGTCCCTAAAAATGTTATCAGTTCCACGCTCGTTCCAGGAGGGAGATTCTCATTGGTTAAAGTTTTTCACTGGTATTTACGATATGCCGGTGTAGTTAAACAAAAACGCCTACAACGAGTCCAAAAACAATTGAATACAGTTAAACAGACGCAAAACAAGGAAACCCCAAGAAAATAGCAACACGAAGAGTTAAGAAACTTTCTATCTGCGACAACGTTTAATTGAATTGCTATTGACTAGTCTTAGTTGCTTTTTTTTCCTTTTTTCTTTTTGCAAGACGGTACTTGGTTTATAACAGTCACTTTATATGTTACATCCTTGAAACATTTCGTTACAGAAATTCTCATTGCATGATGCGCCACTGACACAGCGAAGTTCATTATATTTGATGCAGTCGTTTGCTACTGTTTATTTTTTAACAAGAAAGTCAAACCTTACGCAGTCTAAAAACAACTGAGGTCATAGGGTACTTCTCGATTACGAATATGATGCAAGACGGAGAGCGTGGTATAAACACCGATCAAGTAAACCAAAACACAGTTTTGAACAAGCAAGATACTTGCACAGACGAAATACTTAAAAACTTTCTTTTTTTACATCCTTACAGTAGTCTTAAGTTTTTAAGTGTAATTTATCGAAATTCGCCTTTCAGTAAATGATAACAAGATTTCTGGTGAGAATTTAGATAGAAAAATTGAATTCGGATCCAGGTTTTTTTAAACATATCGTCTAGGGAAAATTTGGAAGCGCTTTCCACTTTTCACTGCTTTGATTTTAGAACCAATTGGCCAAACATTTTCATACTCGGGGCTCATAGAATTAAACCGATTCCCATGAAAATTGACCCAGTAAGATCAATTGTTCAAGAATAGAGACCAAATTTTAATTTTCGAAATACTTTTTGAGATATAATGAAGAGCAATTAAAACTACGTACTCCAGCCTGAAACGTTTTGGGAGAGTAAGTGAATGAGAATTCGGCCATAAGGTTTTTTAAGCACAATATGTGCTGATTGATTTCCCAAATACTGTTTGCCGAAACAAAAGACGCTAAAAATATATACGTATCGGCGTGACCTGGAGGAGACTTGATAGAGAGAGATTTTACCACATATCCTGCTAAATATATTGCGCGACTAAAGTGTTGAAACGACTAAGTGATTGTGAAATTGATTTTTAGCTCTGACTACCCGAACAACTATTTATGTATTCCGGAACATATCAGCCATCTAAAGCTTGGATTGTTTAACGGTGATAATGCTCCATAACAATGAAAGGCCGCAATTAAACATGTAGCAAATGAACATGTGTCAGTACGTAAATAATGGATTCTGTCCGATCACCACCAAATCAAAATAGGAAAAACAACATCACACTCCTTTAAAAGTGGAAAACATGTGAAAGTTAAACCTCAATTGTAGATCTGTAACGTCAGCAGCGGGACAAGAGCTGGTTTGCTACCTATGTAAGATGTCGCATCCTTTCCGTCGCCGAAAATGTTGCTTATCGCATTAGCCCGCCTGCTCGGAGGCCAATTGTTTTTTAGCACTATTGCTTTAACGTTGAAGAAAGAGAGATTTTAAAAGTCATTTGACGATAGTTAATTGCGATAAAAAGCTTGTCGACGAAGTTTTATGCTCAACATAACGACATCATCAAGTCAAAAAGAATAGTAAGTTTTGGAGACCTAAATACTAAAATAAGAGTTGGTACTAAATAAACCTTTATAACCATAAATGACGAAGAAAAACTATACTAAAGGTTGGCAAGTATGGAATCCGCCTGCACGTTCAACTTCGGTTGGAATTTCTTGATAAAAAGCATTTGAAATATTAAGCATTCAAACCTACAGGTATTTACTAAGATCGTTTCTACCGTGCGTAGCAGGAATATGTTTTCCAATAGCCGAAATCTTGTGTTCAGTAACGTGTCGAAAAACTCTGACTACGTTGCTAGTACCAGTATTACTCTCCGATAGGCTCGTTTAAGAGTTTCATGCATGAGAATCGGAAATAGTCGAGTCTTTAAGACTTACTGGGTAATGAAGGCGAATAAAAACAGATCTGACTGTGTCTCATTTCTCATAAAAAGCATTGCCTTTAGAAGACAGTCTTTGTACCGTTTCTCGGTATGGCAGTGGAAGTGCAACAGCAACCCAGTAGTCGCTTCTTTCCTTAAAACTTTGGTTTCCAGATTGGTGACTATCTTCATAATTCCAAACTCAATGAAAGGGATTGCATCATTTGCAGTAAACTCCATAGCAAATATTAGACTGGGATGTATGCCATTCAACGAAATTCAACGTTGACTACATTATTAAATTCTTATATTTTAATATTAGCCTGTTTTTAACGATTACATTTTACATTTTATATATTCTAGTTCTTAATTCTTAATTTATTTAAATTTATATACCTTCACAAGGCTTTATAATTTCCTTTTTTCTTTTTATTTCGTGGCGTACCTGTAAACTAGCTTTTAGCTAAGCGTTCTGACCACGTTAAATAAATTGATTGATTGATTGATTGATTGATTGATTGAC